AATCTTAATAGTCTTACTAACAATTTACGCTACTACTAACAATTTACTCATAACATCAAGATGTAAAATTCTTTTGAAATATGCCGCTTCATTTTTATTTTATATAGTGCTGCTTTGGTTTTTGAATTCACGTAGAAGAACTTCCTTTGAAACACAAATTGCTTGTTAAAGAAGTTTTTTACACATAAATACCTGTTTATTAATTCAAACTTCAGCTTAATAAATATTAAATTTAATAACAAGTTTCTACTATAGTAAAAAGTATATTCTTTTTTCTTATGAATTAATGTGGATAATCATAATAATTACTACAATTATTCTATTCAATAACAAAAATATTCTACGAGATAATGAATTTTTATGAAATATTAAAAAATATATAAGTATATAAATAAATGCCTTTAAACCTAGTTGAAATAAATATAATATTTGCATTTTTGAAACAATAACTATAATATTGACTAATTTCTTTTAAAAGTTTTCTGACAGTTAATATATCAAAAGTAACTGTGAGGTTTATTTAATTAAAAATAATAATAATAAATTAAAAATATTTATAAAAAAACAGCCAATATATTGTCAAATAAATATTTTGTAAATTTAGATTCGTACTTATTTTATTTTGTGAAAGTAAAAACGCTTCTATCCAGCAAGAATTAAAGCGATTCAATAATTTTACTGAAAATATATAATAACAGTAATGAATGTAGTGCTAACAATTTAAATAAATTATCATCATCTACTTAGCCTCTATCCCAAACTATTTGTAGCGTCTACCTTATTAATTTAACAGGATTTCTACACCGGCTGTCGATCTGTTACAAACTCATTACGGCTAAAAGAACCCGTAAAGAGGCTGTCACTTTTAGAGTTTCCGTATGGTCACCCATCTGGGAACTAACAGTAAACAACACAGCTGAATATCAGAGCTAAGATGGCGACTGAATGTTTCACTACACCACACCATGTCCTTCAATTGACAACAATTAAAATAAATTAATTTCTTAATTTTTTTTTTAATTAAATTATATTTCTCATAATATAACAGAGTGATCCATTAACCGCAACTATTCGCTAATAAATACTATATTGAAAAAAAAATTGTTTTTTTTTAATTGCATATAGAATGATTAGTAAGAAAGGAAACGGGTTTCTACTGTTCTCAAGGTTTGTAACAATTAACCTGTTTCCTTACTTACTAACCACTCTGTATATTTTTTGATTTAACAACTATTACTCATTTTTTAGCATCAACACTTATAACTTATAGAGGTATCAACTTAATATTTTTTAGTAGCAATATGTATATTTAAGTAAATTATAAAATAGAAAATTATTTAATTAAGAAAATAGCTTATATAACAACGTTTGAACCAGTATTTTGAAAGTAATTAACATTTTTAAACGTAGGTGGAAGAAGGTGAGCGACCGAAAAATGTTAATAATAGAAATAGTCATATCCGCACCTCTACCACAGTTTACATTTTAAAATCGTTATTTAATTTTCAATAGCTTATAAAACGAGTAATGATATGACTAAAAAAACTAAACATTTATTTTAATATTGTATTTATTTTGCAAGTAATGGTTTATGAATAACTATGTATTATGCAACTGTATTATTTTGAAAGTTTAATAATGGGTTAAAAAAGACCTTTTATAAACAAAGTAAGGTTAAGTAGTTAAGAGTTTCAAATTTGACCAGATTTTTTTTTGAATAAATTTGAGCATTTAAAATGGTTTGTGTTGGGTAATTTTTGATTAAACACATATTAAAAATTATTTATTGCCTTCAATTTTTATATAATCTTGAACAAGTTTTACACGACATATTAGTATATCTATTTAAACAAAAAATAATTCTTAAAAGGTAATTGTAAACCCAATAGTTTTAATAAGTGTTTAAAGTAAATTAGTACTAATAACTTTTATAAGGATTAATTATTAGCTAGAAGTAATTTCGAATTAAAGTATAAAAAGTCTTAAAACGCTATGGACATTAAAATAAGTAAACGCGACCATTTTATTGTAATAATTATACAAAAATGTTAATGATGAATACGAAAATTCATGTCTCAACTGTTTTCCTAAAAATAAACTTCGCGTCAACAAATTGGTTTTTACAGATAATTGAATGTTTTAAAAATAACAATAACATTCAAAATCTAATTTGAATTTAGGCATGTTAAAATAATTATTGTAATTACCATTGTGGCGAATCTCACTAAAATATTTTAATTCTCGCCAATCATTATTTATATTTATTTTGACAGTAACCTCAACTGACGACCAAAATACAAGTTTTTTTTTAATATTTCAAAAGAACATATTTTTCAGAAAACAAAAGAGATGAGCTATTATTTAAAACAAAAAGAAAAATAACACTGTAAAGCTAAATAATAAAATCCAAGTTTTTGTTATGTTGTTTGAAACACGGAATGATTGTAATACTACAAAAATAACAACAAAAGGACTTTTATGAAAATAAAATATCTGGATTATAAAAAAACTAATTTTCAAGATTTACTTTATATCATACTCGTATGAATAAAATGTATAATGTATTATTTATACTACTTACTTATATTATATCAATTTGATGTAGCTTAGATACATTTTTGTTTACTAATTTTTTTTCGTTTCTGCAGCGTTTCTTAACCCTTTTAGTCCCAAATGCCATCTCGACGCCTCATTTTTTAGTGCTACAAGTTACTAATAATAATATAATGTAAACAGTTAAATATGCATCTCAACAATATTTTCCAGGAGAAATTAAAAAAATATGTAAGGTTTATTTTAGATGATAATTGGAAAAAATGAATAAAATATTTATTGCAGAATATCCTTATCTATAATGGTCAGATGACACACGAAATTTCTGTAAATTTACTAGAAGTTGATTCAGGATTGAATAGCATAACCATGTTTACTTTACTGGTAGCAATGGTTGATAGTTAGTGATTTTATTTTACTATTTTAACATATACAACAAATAAATGATTATTATTTAATAATAATAATAACTATTATTACTATTATTATTTTTCATTCATAAGTTTATTATTATTATATTTTAATGATTATACTAAAAATTGTCGTACGCAAAGCTAATTTTACTTCGTACTACTGTGAAAGTTTTAGTTTTAATTATTCAAAAATAATGTCTTAACATTTTTTATAATTCATTTAATATGATTTAGCAAATTAAACTAAACGTTATGGATGGTTTTCAAATACAATTACCTCTCTTCAAATTTCTGAATCGATGAAATAAACTTTTTTTAGCCCTAATTGTTGATCAAAAAAATGTTCATGGGAATTAAAATATTAAAATGATTCACTATTTTTTTTAATTACTTACTATGTTCTCATAATTATAAATAAATATATTAATTATATAGTTGACGGGAGTGGTGGCTCGTGGTTTGGTCGATCGCACCCCCTACTAAAATTAATTAAAAGAAAAAAATTATTTGTATATTCTTAATTCTACATTTTTAATTAGTAAAATAGTTATAACACATTTGTCGTGTGCGAACGTTTAAGTTGTCTCTCTCAGTATATGCGTAACCGCATGCACACACGAGCAGTGTTTGGACGACCGAGTGTTTGAATCGTATATTATAAACAAGTGCGCCCAAATGTGGCGTGCGGGTACGGTTAAGCCACGATCTTATGTACGGGTTATGGACGACCGGCATCGTTGTCCGAATAATATTTTGAAACGTATACTATTAGCGAGGCGCCACAATCGTGTCCGTGCGGGTACGGGTTTTGGACGACGCTGCCGTCGTCTATACAGTAAAATATTAGTATACTATTATATTGGGTAATTTATTTTTAGAATTAATACGAGTACGCTCGTCGTTATCGGTTGCTAAAATAGTATAATCGCTATTATTATTAATTCCGAACAATATTTACGAGGTAAAGAGAGAGGTACAGGTAGAGGAAGACCAAAAAAGAGATGGAGGGATACTATTGAATGCGATATGAGGACAGCTGATGTGAGAGTAGAGCATGTGGGAGATCGAGTCAAGTTTAGAAGCTTAGGATAAGGGTGGCCGAATCCAAGTAGTTGGGATTAAGGCGAGGAAGAAGAAGAAGAAGAAGAAGCTATTATTATTAATTCCATTTCTATTTTCTACTGCGACTTTTAAAATAATGATATGTGTATTGTCTTTTATTTTATTATATTTATTTTGACAATTTTTTATACCTATAACTAGCGGTAACATATTGAAAGTCGCACACCCACCACCAGCACACACTACATGCCACCGGTTGACGGAGTAAGCATCTATAAAGTTTTATAAAGTCATTTTAAAATTCTATGCTATTTTTTTAATTTTTTTTTTTTACTAAAAATAATGATCTCTAGCAAATTTAACTTTACATACCCAGTTGTCTCGTGGGATATATTAACTGCAATAACTTTTATTAAGCTATATTAAATTTTAGGTTTATAAACATTGTTATGGATGGGGACACTAAATTTTATAGTGTGACCCGAAGTTCGCTTAATACCGATCAGACTGTGTTTGTGTATCACTGCAAACAAAGTCTTAGAATGCCTAATCGAGACTGCCTAGCTTAACTAAGGACTACGTATGTAAAAATGCATAAGTGTATATATATATATATGTGTGTGTGTGTGTAAGTTCATAAAACTAATTAAATATAAAACGCGATACAAGTAAAACTTAAACAATAATGATTTTATTAACCTATTGATGACAAGCAATTCTTATGTTATTTCACTCGACATCAAATAAATCTCTAACTTACTATACAAAAAAATTCTAGTGACTGCAGATTAAAACAAAAGTTAACAAGTTAGCCTTTTAGCTGAAAAATTAAGCAACACGTATGATTAACAGCATAATAAATAAGATTTGACTAATAATTAATGTGATTATGGCTGCTAAACATGATTTACAGAAAATATAAATAATTGAATTAAATTGATAATATTACTATATTATTTAAATATTTTAAAGGGACGGTGTATCCAATTCGGTAACGCGGCAGTGTTTGATGCGCACTGTCTCGGGTTCGAGACTCGGTCTTAGGCGGCTCCATTTGCTGAAAGAAACATCAGCTTAGTGATTAGAGTTGCCATCTCTCCCTTTGGCATTAGACTAACCAAACGGTCAGGAGTATCCAATGGTTAAGAAAGCTCCTACTTTGGGGGAGACCGCTATGGCCCTCAATAGGCCGTAAAAAGTGAAAAAAAAAATTTAATATTAGGTAAGTGATAAATGATAAGACTTAAATTTATTAATACAAAATTGACTAGATGTATAATAGAAACTTCAGTTAGTCTATAACTTCATCTCATTAAAGTTATTGTTTTTATTCTAATAAATTAAGTGTATATAAAAATAAATGTAATTTAAAATAGATTAATAATAAATTTTACTATTAAAAATTGAACAAACTAATTAAATTCGCTTAAATTAATCAATTGTTTTTCATTCTTTGTATATTTTAACAACTAGTATTAAATAATAACGTTTAGTACTCACAATTATGCAGAATCGATGGTCAGGATTAGTATCTAAACCTAAATGAAAATAAATGAACTACGACAACTTTTAAATAATAACACATATATAACAAATCAACTTAAGTAAATACAATTTTGGTAACTAAAACAATTTTTTACAAGTTAATTTGGTACGTATCACAATTGACTCGTAGAATTTGCTAATTAGTAGAAATAAATAACGATAAATGTATTTTTGTTAGCTTATTATTAGCTAAAAAAAAAAATGCAATTAGTGCAACAAAAAACATACTACTCAATTTACACTATGTATATTAACGACACCTTTGGTAGTAAGAAAAGAACTTTTGAGAAAATTTGCTACAATTGGTGCAGTCCAAGTAAAAATTAATATTTTTTTCGTTTCGCTAAATCGAATGTTTCCAAATAAAAGTAAAAACTTTTCTTAGTACAAATTTCAACAGAACAATAATCTATATTAACAGATTATTACCTAATACAAATGAAGTGTGTGTTGTACGCGTGTCAAATAACTGATCGGCTGGTAATAGTGATTTCCACTACCAAGTGTGTTGTTGGGAATGGGTACGTGGTGAAAGGCTGAACCGATCCGAGTGCGTACTCACTACATACACAGTAATACAGTGGCAAAACATGTGTGTGTTGTGTACACAAATAGTTAACAATAATAACAAACGTAATAGTCATTCAATTTCAAAAACAGAATATNTGTACACAAATAGTTAACAATAATAACAAACGTAATAGTCATTCAATTTCAAAAACAGAATATAACTTTCAGTAAAAAATTTAATTTTTTTTTTTTTGTAGATTCTGGTTAGAAGATGTATTTAGGAACAACATTTAACAGAAATAAACTACTGCCGGTTTTAAAGCACGAAATGGCTTTAATATAAAACTATGTTCGTATAATGTATAATTATTATCAGACAGTTGAGTTTCCTAAAAATAAAACAATTACTTTTATTATTTATTACATTAAAGTTCTTATAGCTAGGCAAAATTTTATAGAAAAAAGTTTTAATGTTAGTTAAATGTTTAAGATTTATGACATAGTTTAGTCAACTTGAAACTTTTATAATATTATTCACAAAGATTCCAATAATATGATTGTTAGATTTTTTAATTAAAATTAATTAAAAAGTGTATTTTACTATAAATGTTATTTTTATTTATCTGGAACGCACCATATATTATAGAAAAATGTAACTTTTGTAAATAAATACCGGCGCTCTTAAGTGGATAAGTGGGACTCGAATTAGTTCACCAAAGAAACTAAGTCTCTAGTAGAAATAAACATTTTATTATTTCTCTTTCAATTCAATGTTCTAATTTGTTTGTCTATAAAATGCATTTTTGCTGTGTTTTTGTTCTTAACAAGAAGTGTAAACACTAACTTGTTATATTCAAATGTTACCAAAAACAGTTTTATTCACTCAGTTTTCAAACTTTTCACTAGAACAATCAACTAATACTTAAATCAAAATGTTTATAATTCTATAATTACATTATGCTCAAACAATAACAACTGTGTTAAAAAGTAACCCTTAATTAATATTAGCACTTGGTTATTCTAATGTTTCATCAAAGAATAAAATCAAATACATGAAATTTAATTTTAATTTTATCGTTTAAACAACTGTCAAGCAAGTAGGCAGATTTAATTATTTTAATAAAAAAAATGTCTATCTTTTTAAAAGTTTTATTTAAAAAAATTTATTTATTATATTTAACCTGAATTCTCAAAACACTCTACGTGTTGACAAATGATTAAAAACTAGTTGGTTTACAAATAACATGATATGCGAGTTGGTTGAAAATATAGAATTATTGTCTATTATTTGTTTATTTCATATATCAGACCCGCATATAAAACAAATTAGATAATATGAAATATGAACAGCTACAAAGTAGAGAAATTAATATATAGTAATCATAATATTCAGTACATTTCTCAGAAAACGAAGTTCATTGCTTTTTGAAAATGCTCCATATAATCTTTTGTAAAATAAATTGAATCCATATATCCTCAAGCTTTATTTTTCATTATAAAAATAATATTACAAGTTGTTCTTCTTAAAGTGATAGATTTATTTAAAATCAAAAAAGAAAAAATATAATATACCTTAAAATTATACAGTTATATATAAATATATATAGTAATTAATAGCTGATAAATCAAAAAGTATATGTAACTAAAAAAAACATTTTTATTTTTTTATTTTTTTTGAGTTATTAAGTAGTTATGATAAACCAATGACCCTGTAGGTTATTAATTAACCTGTAGAGGTTAATTAAATTTTTTAACGGTAACATACATATTTTACTTTATTCTTTTTCTTCTTCTTCCTCACTTTAATCCCAACTAATAGATAAATATGTATGTTGTCATTTAAAAAATTAATACTCCTATAAGATATATGGGTTGATGCAAAAAAATTATTGATAGCTGATAAATTAAAATGTATATATATTTAAAATAACCAAAAATTTTTTTTTCGATATTGTATTTATTTAGTGACTAATTAAATAGTTTATGATAAACTAATTACTCTGTATTTTAAACTTATCTCGTGGAGTATTTTAGTTTGCGCGAAATATATAAAAGTTTTTAAACGAAGTTTCTATTTTCTTTGTTTAAGTAATAATTAATTATAAAAATAAAAAATACAGAGTTTTATTTTAAAATAATAATCATTTTTTATGCATAATGTAAGTGGTTCATAATGTATATATTCAGTGTTTTAATTTATACAAATATATTCCCATTTCCAAAGTTAAAAAAAAATAGTTCAAAGAGGATAACATAATAAGATAAAACATAGTTTATACCAGAGGTTATATGACTGGATATAAAAACCAATACACGTTATATATATGCAAATGTTTCTTAAATTATTCTAGTTTTTGGCAACATGTGCATTTAATTGGGACTATGTGCAAACTTTGGCGTAATCTCTCAAAAAGGGGGTCAATTTGATTCAAAATAATGTGTGACATTTGGGTGGCAAATGGTAATCGTCGTAAAATGAAGTGTGCATTATGTATACTATAGTACTCTAGAGCGTTTTGACTAAATTGAAATATTTTATGAATAAACTTTTGCAACTTATTGCAAAATCAACTTTAGATGTTCTTAGTTCGGATTTATAAGTTTTTCGTTTGCTTGTAATAATAGCCTGTAGCAAGTCAGTATTTTTTCTTGTAATATAATTTTTAATGTCAAATTACTTGTTCACTTCACACTATAATTTTTTAACTTTCTATGAATTGTATTTGATATTATTATTTAATAAAAATAATATTGTAGCACAACAAGAGCCAATAAAATTTTAAATATATATGTGTACTNTGAATTGTATTTGATATTATTATTTAATAAAAATAATATTGTAGCACAACAAGAGCCAATAAAATTTTAAATATATATGTGTATCATATAATAATATATAGTAAACGTAAATTGTTATTCTGCCGTATTTCAATTTAAATATATGTTGTTCTTTAAAAACTAAATGTACCGTGGGTGTTTCAGTAAAAAAAAATCCATTCACCCTATTTGTTCGTTTTTACCATATGAACCAGATATATTTTTCTTGAACATATGAACCCCATTACGTGAGCTTTAGAAATATATGTAAATACGAATTACACATTCAAAATTCGTGGCAAAACCAAACGGAAACGTCTAATGGCATCTGCGAGATCAAGGAAATACAACCCTTACATTTTGGTTTCGTTTGTACTTCTAATGACTGTCCTCTATCTTTCAATTTCTCTCGTTCTTCTTCCATTCGTCTCAATATTATATTCATATTATCCACGAGAAATTGAAAGGTTTAATTCCGGAGTGACAATGTTGTGAAACACTGGCAGGTACCTCAGGTGTCATATAACACAAAGTTAACGCGATTTTTTACACGCATATTTGAGTATTTGCCTTTATGTTAACGATTTAAATTTGACAAACGATTGACGTGTGTGTTTTTGAATTGTTTTTAACGCTTCGATCAGTGGGTCGAATATTTTTATTTAAATGGATAATCAACAATTTATATACAACACAGCAAAAATGTAACTTGTTCGAATTAAATAAACCAAAAACCGTATTATGCCATTTACCGCTTGAGTTAGTGGAATTTATTTGTACAGTCATAATAATTTATAAAAATATACTACTAAACAATTTCTAGAGACAGTTGGCGCTATACTATAACCGAAATATTTAACATTTATAGTAGCGCAAAACTAAATTAACCGTTTCATAGAGTACTAAAAAAAAAATTGTACTGAAAGTCTTTGTTTCAACATCAAGAGAGAAATTATGTAGACAATACACTTAACTTTTTTAATAATTGAGACTAAGTTATAACTTATATTAAAAACTTTAAGTAACCTATTTCTGTGTCGAAATTTAGCTAATATATAAACTATTAAAAATGTATTTTAAAAAGCTGTACGACGAATAAAAATTACTCTCTTCATTAATAATTCAAAATCTTCCTTTGAAGCTCTGCATCATTTTCTGTGGTTCAATATTTGCGTAAGTAACGTTATTGCAAATATCCTTTCACGAGATGTTCCTTGATTTTTGTATATGTTACGTATATATTATCAGTAGAAATAGCTTGATGACAAAAATATACCATATATTATTTGAACACAAATTACAATATCACAAATTATGTTTTTATATTTGTTCAAAACCTTTTGTTGATCACAAGCAATTAACCCTCTCCCCTTTTTTGCGTAGGTAGATATGAAAGCATACATCAGCCATAGTGGTAAATTTATGATATCAAATATGGTTTAAAAACACCAACTTGATCCTTGAAATTCGATTTCGACATTAGGTTCAATTTATTCCAACGGTCTGTAATCAAAATTATCCCCACTATGTTAATATTCCATTTCACATTGTGATTTGATTGAACAAAGGATTATAGGACAATCGTCATGGTTCGATTGTTTTATGCGGTAACTATTAAGGCATGTTTTTACTTATTCTAGAAAGGGATTAAATGAAATAATTTGTTTAACAGGTTATTTTGCATATTAATTTTCACGATTCCCGATACTCGGAAATGTTCCAAGCAACAATTTTGAATAATTTTTGTATTATTACAATGTGCGTACGTTTAAATGCCAAAAATTAAACACAAATGAGAGTAAATTGTTGTTTAAAATTATTGTCTTAGTGGGTTTGATAATTTTTTAAATAATTTGTTTCTTTATTAGTATAAAAATTGATTAGAAAAATAAATGCTATTTGAGATAAAGTAAAATAATTCTAAGCTAAATAGGATGAGGTTGGGTAAATGTAAATATATGGGATAATTAATTTTTTTCTCTTGAAATATTCAGCAAATTTTATTTCGGATTGAAAAGTTCTGGTCCTTATTAAAGTTGCTATTATATTAAATCTAAGTTCGAAATAAAAACTTGTGCATTTTTCTAGAAAAATGCATTTACAATTATCTCAATCGTTTACAACTATTCCAATTTATCCTATTATTTGTTTTTCGTTTTAATTAAATTTTATATCAATTTCATTTGAACACTTTATTTATAATTAATTAAATGGGATCCTATTTAATGAAAATTGTAATTAGTAATTGTTGTCATATTTTTACTTGATCATTGAAAATTTACTATTATAATAATTATAATAATTTTTTTATATGTAAATAGTAATAGGAGTTAAGATAACTCCTAAAAAACCTAATTTAAAATACGTAAAAATAAAATTTTTATATTGATTTCAAAAATTAAGGTTATTATGAACATATTTTATACTTGGAAAATTTATTTCAGTAGTTACCTTTTTTTAATGCGTAATTATTGTTTTACCAAAAAAACTTTTCAATATTTATTTAGTTTACCGACTATACATGTTTATTGT